AAGGGTAATTAGATTTTTAAGCGCATAAAAAAATTTTTTTTTTGCCTTTTTCAAGACTGTAAATATAATTTAGTTGAAAATCGGCAAGAGCAAATAGCACTGAGTCGGAACAAAACAAAAATCAACGCGTTAGAAAGGAGAGTCGGTCGAAAGAAACAAGGACGCGCGCTGTGCTTCCACAGCGCCTCGGGACACATTTCTCTCATTATTGCACAGATTGCTATTGCGTGGTAGATATCTAACAGTACACGGCGAAAATTGAGCGTCCGAACCGAGTCAATGAACCGAAAATCGACCGTTAGTTGCGCCGAAACGAATCTAGCAGGACGGGCCCTTCCACCTCCTCCCACTCCTATTGCACCCGAGATTTTTTCGTCGCCGACTGTGTGTTGCAGCATCACGGAATGCAGACGGGTCCGCTATAACACGCACCGATCGAAAAGTCCCCCTTTCGCCGTGAAAAAGCTTGACAAGTGTTACAGTCGATCGCTTTAGACTCTATCATTTAACACAAGGCGAAACAATCCCGTTCAACAGATCGTAATTTTGCTATGAGCATCAATAGTCTTAACTGACCGACAGAGAAACGCCAGGGAAGTAATTTTATCGCTATGTGATATAGAGAGAGCATGCTGTAGACGGCCGTCCTCGGCGCAAATAAAATAATAATCAACCGGTGACGTTTCTCCCATCCCATCTTCAATGAGAACGTAGACGATTTACACACACGTCTGTGTTAGAAAGCTGAAGGATTTCTTTTTGTTCGCAGCTTTTACCACTTGTACGGCTTTAACAGTTAACGTCGACCGTTCGCTGGAGCCGTTGCAGTAAATCTGCTTATTCATTGGTCTCTCAAAACGCCAAGGCTGGAATTAATCTCCGCGGCTTAACTTCGGATAGCTCAAATATTAATTAAACAGTGTTATAAGTAATGCGTTTTATTAAAAAAATGTGATAGGTAACGCCAATTAAAATTTAATACAGCTGGAAGAGTTTGCTTGACGGATAAGGGAAAAATACCGAGACTTCGGTTGAAAAAAAAATCAAAGCTTACCCTGCAATTTTTAGGCCACGTTTGTTATTAAGGGGAAAGTGTGTTGGCAAGCTTTTATGTGCCAACAGCGTCGCCTGAAAACTGGGTCAGCTCACTGTAAGGACTTCAGCTAACACTGGCACGATGACCTAGGTCAGGTCACTGCTGAATTATACTCGGGCTGCCGACAAATCGATACTGACGCGTTTGTTTACATCACTTTAAAGGCATTCATAGTCAATGAGGATTCAAATGACTTTTGCATAAATACAACTCTTTTGAAAATATCATTTTATTTTATTTAGAACAAATCAAACTACCAACATAAAATTCAATTGAATGCAACTTTGTCTCATTTAATTTTTAACGCATTAGTAACGAAAATTATCGTGGCTTAAGGAGTTGAAGAATGAAACAAAGAAGAATATTATTTTATATATCCGTGGGTCCTAAATACTAAATCTTTTTGGAATTAGAATTCTTTATGTGCTGAATTTAAAACATGTTTTATTAATATGCTTTGGCCACTGAAAGATTGTTGCAATGATTCAAAGAATGGTTTAGAATTAAAGCGACTCTACATAATAAACTGTATTTCATGTAAAGCCTATTTTATACCTATTTTAGGGGAGGATTTACTGTTTTGAATTATTATTCATAGGTAAATTAAAAAAATAATAATTACGTAAATTCCAATGCTTCCCTATTCTTGCAATCTATATTCCCCCTTTTTTTAAAGTATTGGACATTTAAGCTTCAGCTAATTAACACTCATAATAATGAAACATATTCTTTGTTATCTTTCATGTATGTATTAAATTTCAGTAGATTCTTAATCTCTAAGGCTGCGTATTCTATAGGTCCCAGAGCTGAGCTCGTATGTTTTATGTCTATCGATAGACGTTAGATAAATTTTGACATGATAGCATAAGATAAGCCCGATGATTCGTCACCGCCTCCCTGCAACCTGAAACCAGTCGCTGTGGTGAGTGCCATCGATATTGGTGATATGTCATCATCCGTAAATTAAAATGGTTTTAAACGAAACGCAATCTTTCTCGCTTATGTTAATAATTAAAATGCCTTCTTTACCTTTTTGCGAGTTATGACATTAGCATGTACGCTTATATACATGTTATATTGCCACGAAAATAATATATAGCAGAAAATAGATAAAATTCCATAAAAGAAAATCTTTAAAACTTTTACTTATGCAAAATCTTTGTGGATTCTGTCTTGATTGTTATAAATTTCCACAAATGACACATATATTTCAGTATTATAATACGAAAAAAAAACTGATCACTTATTTTTTTTTAAAACTCAAGTTGTAACATTTTCTTCACAGAGTTGATAAGTGAGAAAATTGGAAGCTATACTACTAAAGTAACATTTTATAAATCAAGTTATTTCAAAACTTAGGAACGCAAGGGACTTAGACTTGCGTTTGGGGTATCCAGATTTTCACCCTGAGCAAAAAGCGCCTCAGCACCCAGGTTACCGTCGCATGGCGCGTTTTCCATGATTCACTTTTGAAACTTTCTAACCCTGTGCCGGAGTGAAGAGGCAGGGAGGGGCGCGCGGGTGCCAGAGTGAGGGTACCGACCTCATTGCCCATTGCCACTCCTCCCGCCGAGGCGGCAGGCCATTTTTATTAAAAATACTTCCGTGTAACAACATATCGCGCGCTTTTTTTTTTCTCCGTCGTCCTTCAATCCTCGTGACTTTTTTTGAGACTTTTGATTTTGTTTTTTTTTTATTGTACGGTGTGCGAAAGCTTTAAATGAGGTTAATTTTACGCGGTCTCTTATGTTAGTGTTAGTCAAAAGTGATTTATTGCATTCGGAAAAAAATTATCGTAATAAAATATCAGTGCGCCTCGCGGACTATTTTCCGTGCGGACTCGGATGCATTCGGTTGCGAAAAGTGGCGGAACTCGGGTATCTCCGGCGGCGGCTGGTGCGACGAGGGCGTCCTAGCCACCCCGCCCGCGAGCAAAAGAGACGGCGCATATGCTGACATGGCGACAACACCGATGGATTAATGTTTTTCACGTGGAAAATTCAACCCTTGAAAATTTCTCAAAAGGTAGGTTGGTGAAATAATAACTAAATAAAAGGTTTTCAATAGAGGCATTAATAGCAACATTCTTGTAATGCCTTTCATAATCTAAAAACACCTGTATATTGGGATGCTGTTGGAAAGCCTTAGTAGCGGCGCACATATCCATTCATCCCGTATTAACTAAGATTTAATTTAATTTATCGATTTATAGTTTTAATAATGAATTATAAAATCTAGATAAGAAGTTCATCTGGCTGTAATAAAAACATTGGGACCATACCACCCCAGATCGGCGATTAAGCACCGTTTAACCGATGGAATCACGTTTATCTCATTGCACCGTGTCACGTTTCGCAAACGCATAGACAAATATAAACACATATAATAATGTGAGTCATAGTAGACTGACAGGCGTTAACATCGGGGCAATCAAACATATACGAATGCGAATCAATAAATTTCAATAAATCAATATTTTACCGTGCACCCCGCGCTGAATATATCCGCTGCCGCCATTTCGATGATGACGGCGTATTTTTTGTGAGATATTCGAGTCGCGGAGCGAGGCGGTGCACGCCGCGCGGGGTTGCGGCCGCTAGCCCGTCAGTCGTCGGGTGAGCGGGGTGCGACGCAAACGCGGACTCGGACTATGGCGGAAGGGCTGTTCCTCACTCCCATAAAAGGGTCGAGTTGATTGTTGTGCAGTACGTGTGGTACGTTATATTATGTTAGTGCAGTGATATAATTATTCGCTAACCGCCGTTATCGCGACGTATCGGCCAAATTAATGCGGATAACGTAGGTAATAATGCCATTGTGATGACGTAATGTAACGCGCTCGACTGGGTGCGTAGTAATAATTCGAGCGCCCGTTTATGCCGCGATAACGTTAGTGGTCAGCACCTGTGGATGTGATGCGAGATTTTGATTTTATTTCATGTTTAATGAGTTTTTGCTATTCTAATAGGATTCTTGTAGGAATTTAAGTGAGGAATGATTCCTTTACATCGTATAATTATGCTGTGATTGAAACTACGGTAACGTCGATGCGAATTTGCGAGCGTGATATTCGCGCAGGGTTGCTAGCATATAGATACTTGTGCTTACACGTAGAATGTTTTCCTACTGCAGTGCGCTCCTCGATGCACAGACTCGCCACCCGCCGCTAGAGGCGCCCTCGATTTTTTTAACCTTGATTGAATCTACTAGGTATCTACGTACCGGATCATTCATAACAAACCAGTTAAAGTCATAATAAATATTTCCCTTTCTATATTTATATTACTTAAACAAACATTTTTTTAATTGTCTGGAGATTTTCCCTATGAAGCGGATAATTGTATGGTTATATTACAGTGCCTATTTATTATACATCCTTTAATGCTTTTGAGCGTACATTTATACATCTTATATTTTTTATACATCTTATGTTTATAAATATTAAATATTACCCTTATTTGAATAACTAATCGGTTCATTTCTTTAATTATTAGTTTCTTTTCCAAAATATGGTTACAAAGCAATAAATATAAGAATATATAATCGGCGTAACTTCAGTCATTAAGAAGTTTTTTTTTAAAGGAATCGAGATAACTGCGCAATATGAACCGTGGATCCCGAAAAATGTCCCCTAAGAATAAATTCTTTTTGCATGTTGTAATATATGTATGTTTTATCCTCTTGCAGGTCCCCCTGCGCCCGTTTAACAAAATGCACTAGCACTACGAAACATGCAATTTAAAAATGGCTTCTAAGTAAACATTATCCATTGTTAAAGATTTGTTATATTGTTCATGGAACAAGAGAGAATACTTATGTATACATCATTGATATTGTTAATACATTAGATTTAAAGCCCGAACTTGTGGAATTAATATCTTCCAAAGGAGAACAAAAAGCAAAGATGGCTACGCAAAGATTCTGTTTGAGGTGGAACAACCATCAGTCGAACATGCTGTCCGTATTCGATCAGTTATTGCACGCAGAAACATTCACAGACGTGACCTTGGCCGTAGATGGCCAGTTGCTTAAAGCCCACAAAATGGTTTTATCGGCATGCAGTCCATACTTCCAGGCTCTTTTTGTGAACCATCAGGAGAAGCATCCAATTGTCATATTGAAGGATGTCCCGTACTCGGATATGAAGAGTCTGCTGGATTTCATGTACCGGGGCGAGGTGAGCGTCGACCAGGAGCGCTTAACGGCATTCCTGAAGGTGGCCGAGAGCCTAAGGATAAAGGGCCTGACGGAGGTCAACGAGGAGAAGTGCGACATACCGGCCCTCACCAACTCGCTGATACAACAGCAGACGGGCGGCAGCGCCCAGACGCCGCCGCCGCAGCTGCACAGGATCCACCCGTACGTGCACCAGAAGCGGCCGGCGTCCGGCATGCCCAGCGGCGGCGCGCCCCCCAACCTGCTGATGCCGCTGCTGGGCAACGCGCTGATGCAGCCGAAGAGGAAGCGCGGCCGGCCGCGGAAGCTGAGCGGTAGCTCGAGCGACGCACTGAACACGGCCGCCAGCCCGCCAGGCGAGCTAGCGCCGGAATCCGCGTCGCACGCCCCCCCCAACAGGGCGGACCAGCTGGTCAGGGGCTCGCCGGAGATGCTCGAAGTGAAGATGTCCATGGACGGCTACGGCGCCGACGACGGCGCCACCTCCGGCGGCGAGGAGGCGGGCGAGGCCCTCATGATCGACGAGGGCGACGACGCCCACTCCAACGAGGCACCCACATCGGGCAAAGACTCGGAGTCCGCAGGTACGTGTCCAGACTCGGCGTCCGCGCCGCCTATGGCGGGATTATTTCACCCTTGTAGTTTTTTTTCTTACTAGACGAGAACACTGTGAGATTTATGTAATGCTGTTCCTTCGGTTTTACAACGAATTGTGTAATGTACAAATGCAAAAAAAAAATAATGCAATTTGACGGATTACCGGATGTTATAATTTCGCTTATCTTTTGTAAATACATTATAATTTTCCTTTCCATTGACCTAACACCGATTTTTTTTTCGATTTTGTATAGAATGTATAAAGAAATAAGAGAAAAGCTAATGGGATATAAGCTTTGATGATAGGAAATGTATTCAATAAGTGAAAAAGTGAAGTGTATTATGAATACCTATTTATTTATAATATTTAAAGTTTATTCTGAAGGGGTAAGTGATAATCTATCAAATTATTATTGACGTATTCGTTCTCAATAAATGCTTATTTCTTCTACAAGTCATCAGTTTAACTATTGCTTGCTTTTCTGCTTTCGGGGAGAGCTATTAGAGGAATGGCCAGGGGCAATTTCGGTGTGGTAATGGTTTGAATAACATAATTTCACTCTATTAACTTCTTAAACATATATATAATACACAAGAAAAGGGAAAACAAACAAGGCTTATTCCCAATAGCTTTCCTTCATTCAAAGCATCATTGGAAATATTTTAGTTCCTTTAAAAGACCCTTAGTTTTTATTTCATCGTCCGCGCACATAACCTGTCCTACTACAATATTTCCAATAACCATTATATTCAATACGATATAAATTAAATTAAAAAGATAAGAAAATTGGCATTGGAACGTTTTCAGATACGGAAAAAACTACAAAAGAGGAAAACCACAATCACTATCCAACAAACGGGCCGGTACTCAAAATTGAAAACGGATCTATTAAGCAGGAGCCTACCAACGAAACGACAGACGAATACAGTGACCCGATCGAATACAAATACAATCCGGAGAGAAGCCGCGAGAATTCCAATTCGCAGGAGGGCCCCATCAAAGACATAGAAGACAAAGCCAGACTGGGTCGCAATCTGAAGCCAAAGAATAGTAAAAAACTGCTACCCCAAATGTCCAAATTCAGAGCTCGAAACCTATTCAGCCAGCTGTCCGGCCTGTCCAATCTCAGCCCGGCGCTTAACAGCTTCGACAAGTTCCCCCCCGAGACGGTGCTGATGCCCGCGCTGGCTACTCAGCTGTTCGCCGCCGAACTGGAACAGGGCAACCTGATCCCCGGTGGAGAGATATCCGACCTCTCGCAGACCAACTGGGAGCACCGCATCTTCCCGTCGCCGATCAGGAAAAACAACGTCGGCGGCGTCAGCTACCACGAGGAGACGAACGAGTCCGTTCGAGATTACTGCATAAAGGAGGGCGAGAACGTCTTCCGCTGCAAGATATGCGCCAGGGTCTACACGCATATTAGCAACTTCTGCCGACACTACGTGACTTCCCACAAGAAGGACGTCAAAGTGTTCCCTTGTCCCATCTGCTTCAAAGAGTTCACGCGGAAGGACAACATGATCGCCCATCTGAAGATAATACACAAAAATCAGCCTAACGCGAACGAGCAGATGTCGAAGCAGGAGTCTTAATTCGAAGTAAACGCTTATCCGAAGCTTGGGGGCTACTTAAATGAAACAGATCTGATTAAAAGAAATAGGATACGTTCTTAATTAATAGAATTTTAATTAAACAAATAGCAGTTTAGCAAATCGCAACCGAATAGAGGCGTTCGAGCTCTGAATTACACTAATATATCAATAAGTTTGTTGATATTAAGCGACCGCAATGTCGTTTGTTGTTATATTTATGTATTTATTTACGTTGTTCCATTTGTTTCTTGGAGTGCTTGAAGTCGGTAAGATGTTTGTGGTGAATTCTATAATTTACTTGTTGATTTGCACTCACTTGTTACTTAATTTTATTACTTACAAAAAACTTTCAGGGTACAAAGTAAACTTACTCATGGTGATTTTATCAAACGTAGTCTGTTCGGATTACATGCAATTCTCATTGAACTGAATTAGTTAGTATAGGATTAGGAGTTACGTTTACGAGTATACCAATGGTGCGATCTTTTTGTAAAATTACCGTTTAATAACTTGACATGCTATAGAATATGCACAACGGTGAAACTTATAAAGAAGAGGCTAATGGACGCGTTTTTACAAAAAGGTTGGATATCATTGCGCCATTCAGTAGTGGTGTGGAATGCATTTTCATTTGACTTGCCTTATTAGTGATTTTAGATGTTAATACAATAACTTCTCCGAAGTAAAACTCAACACGGGCTATGATAATTTCTAGGTTTTTGTTAAGATTAATTTAAAAATATTTTATCGATGTTAATATGATTGAATATAGATGCAAGGTTCGAATATAAACCTTATATATATTAGTATACGGCGATTTAAATATATATCGTTCAAAATTTATTATATTCTTTTTACACAATTTTAATTGTGTATAAAACTTTCATTAATGCGAAGAGGTTAGTGTCAGTTCCTTAATTACTACTGATATCGATGGTTTAAAAGCTCACGAATGAGCTAAAAACATTCAAGCAGATTTGGTTTCGCATCATAGTGATGTGTAAACGATATATTTATTAATGTTAATTGAAGATGATTCTATTAAATATGAGTTTCTGTCAAAGACAATATAATAGATGAAATATATTAGAGAAATACACAATATAGGGACAAATAGATATCTATAAATTCAAATCTTCTATTTAATTTTCATATATTAATGAAAAATAACTCACATAAAACATATTTACCCGGGATATAATCTAAAGGGGTATAAAAAATACCCTAAATATTGTATATATTTGAAATGGTACCACATTGTGTTGTCGTTAAAGTGATCTTCGCAAGGTGCTTCTGAATTAAATAAAATGTTAAAAAAATGTCTTGAGTAAAAATACTGGAACCATGAGATGATTTGTAAATTCTATTTTATTAGAAATCAAAAAAATATATGCCTTAATAGTAAGGGAAATGTACTTATAAAAGTTTTAGTTAATCTAGAGGCGAATGTAGTCTTCCATGTTTATCGATAGTCACAGATTTGATTTCGATTACGAGATACGATCTAGGTACTTGTTATGAAATGCATACATCAATTCGAATTAGTAGTACAATATAATTACGTTGTTGATCCAAAAGAACTTCAATGTTTCCAATTTAGGTAGAGTCCAGGGAACGCTTGCCTATTAGTGTGCCTTTACTTGTAATAATAAGTTAAATCATTACGACTACTAGGTGACTAAGAAATTCAAAGAATATTATGTATATTTATTTATTTTAATTATTCAGAGTTTACAAATCTACTTTAAGAAGCTTCCTTAGGATAGTAACCTCTAGGCCCAAGTAGTTAATTATAACATTGATAGATGTATGTAAAAACATCATCTCATGTGTCCCATTTCCGTGGTAAATACGATTTGTTAATGAAATAAAAAAATAATAAGATTTTCAAGGCGATCTAGCCTGAATAATCTAATGAAGACTGTTGAAATCATTAAAAAAAAACGAATTTATTGTACCTACCTTTCATAAATTTATACGAAATTTATCTCGAAATTCGTTAGGTACTTAAAAAAGGGGAGTAAAATATATTAAATTTATGGGTGAGGCTTTGAAGGGATTCTTAAAAAAATGGAAATGTAATAATAATAGTCAATTTAGCCAGTGCCTAAAACGTAAAGTACTTGGAGAAGAAAACTTGTAATTCCAAAACAGATGTATGTGTTCGGTGTTCCTTTACCTTTAATTTGTAGATAAATGGCTATAACAATTTATTTATAATAACACAGAGTTATATGATAATTTTAATGACAATGAACATTGTTTTATATTGTTAAAAGCTATATCATCGATTGGTGCTAAATTAAACTTAAGAAAATGTCACATGTGATGTGACATTAAAATATTGTCCCTAATATATATATATTCATATATAAATATTGTTTGTTGTATTGTTATTTTGAACATATGTACATACATACAAAAATCAATTTCCATAAAGGCAAGTATTTCGAAATGGCAGCTATTGCAGTACACTCCAACAAATCCCTAAAACTGGTAAATTCATAGGTAAATACGAAAAAAATATCATATTTTATTGAAAAAACGCGGTATATAAAGTAATTAGTATGTTGTTATCACTGACAGAAAAATATTTTTATTTTATTGAAAATATGTTCAACTGATAGAATGCACAGTTTTCAGGTATTATTATTAAAAAGGACTTTTCAACTATTTGACATACATTTAAATGGAATATATAAATATCTATATATGTATTTTCTTCTAACTTTATCATTACGGCAGCAATCTGCTTAGAGAGGTGTAAAGTTTTAATTTATGAATCGTTATTCGATTTCTCTTAACTTCATTAAGGATTTAGAATGATAGTGCAAAAGTTTGAAAAAGGGTTGTAGAATAAAAAACATTTAGATGCAGTAAAACTTAGTAACAATAGAACAGTGATTTGTCGAAACAATTTTAATCTATTTGAAAACTAAATGGGGCCAATTTTGTGCCCGCGTTTGTAACTTAATATACTCTTTAATGTAATGATAATCAAATTTATTACTTTCTCATAGTCATACACATGTTTTGTTTATAACATTCATTGTAAGACTTTATTTAAAACTGGCTGTCTTTAAAGTCGATATTGTCTCTAACTTTATAATTTATTGCGAGTTAACACGCGGTCAGATTTAAATAATTTCAAATACGATTCAAATAGTTGGTCACTCTCGGCTCAGTGCCTCAAGTAGTTTAATGTTATTAATGCATAAAATTTTTACCTCTCGTAAAAGTAATACAAAAAAAGAATAGTTCTATCTATACCGAAATTGTTTAACTTCGCATATCGTATCGATGATATATGTATTTATTACATTATAGTCTCTAGCCAAATGTTGAATCCATATTCTTTTTGTTTATGCACTTAGACAATAGCAGATGCAAAGAGTAATTTAGCCAAATGGAGATTAGAACGGAAACTTACACGAAATAGAATTATTTGTTAATGAAGAAAACTCATCGGTTTTACAATAAGGTGTTAATTACTATTTTTAGAATCTTTAAAGAGAATAATAAAAGTTACAACAAAAATATCCAATCTTTTGAATCCATGTTATCGTTTAGTTATGTTTAAATTGTTATTATTTAATTTTAACCTATTTTTTTTTTTCGATTTTATATTTTTATTTTGGTACGTCACGTTTGTGATTAAACGGGCAACACATTGTTTTGTAGTGAAGCCCTATCAGCAGCGATGCTTTCAAAACTTTTTTTAAGCACTTTTCAAATTTATATTTGGACATTGTTTTGACGAAATAAAAGAAAAGTGAAATGAAATGGATAAATATGGATAATGTTAAACTGTAATAATGCTTGCGACTCAACACTTCTATGACAGCTTTAATGATACATTTAGTATTATTGGGCTCTCTGTGTAAACTTTACATTTAAATTGAAGTGTTGGGATTCTACATACCAATTTTAAATAAAAAAAATATTTATGCATTTCATGTCATTTTTAAAGTGTGTAAGGCGGTCATATTACTTTTAATGGTGATATTAGCAACGACGACGCTATTATTTAAAAAATATATTAACATAAATTTTAATTGTAATAGTAGCAAAGTAACAACACGGGTTATTAGTAAAAGATTAGTATAAGTTATTTATAAATATAATAGGCATAAATTGTGTTGTTAACAATGGAGTGAATTTTCTAATGTATAGAAAATCAGTAGTCACGAAGAGAGGACTGATCAGGTAGGTATGTAATCATATGGTACTATCCTCGTATCGTAGTTGGTGTGGTTAGAGCTAGAATATGTTTAACAATATGCTTTCTATGTTGCTCAAAATGACGCTATGCGAGAACAAAGTATTTTTGGTTCAGTACAAATTATTGCTTTTGTGATTTTATTTTACTATTGATGTTTTCTTTGTTACGAACTATCGATAATGAGGCTTATATTTTTAAATTCTTGTTAATCATTTATATTCTTGTTTTTCTGTTTTCTCTGTTTATTCCTATTCCGTATAAGTCTACAGTGAAAATCTTGTTATGTTTAAACTGTTGATTAAATGGCAGCTACCAATTTCATTTTCAACTTGACAACCCACCTTTTGTGATCTTAAGAGCTAAGCAAACTGAAGTGTTATTTTGTAATTATTATGTACCTACTACCGAACTTGCCGTAATAGTTAAAAATGCAATCACTTGAGTCCTATTATAACATAGTTAGAAACTTCTTTTTTGTTACATTTTTTTAATTTATTATTTAGCATTACGATTATTTTTAAATAGCTTAAGATGTTTGACTTTGCCACATTTTGTCCTTTTCGGATTACACATTGTTCAATTACACTTTATAGTGTTGTACATTGATTTATAGTCTGCACAAATAAATTTTATTATGCCTGCTACTTCGTTGGAAAAATATTTAGTATTGAATGGTCTTATGTTCCAATTCCTGTTTCGATAGTTTTATATATTTTACTTTAGGATTCCTTACATGGATGAATATGTTTCGCGCCATTTCGGGTCTATTTGATGACTAGTGAGTGAACTTGGTGCTATTGCCACGTCTGTTATGTGCAATGATGTTGTTTTTGATTTTTATTTCGGTGTTGGCGAAAAGAGAGACACGTTCATCCATGGAGTAGCTCCATCGTTCAATTTTTTCCTTTTCTTGTCTTGGTGTAATAAATTTCATCATTAGATTTGAACAAATAAATATTATTATATTTTCGTTCTTTGTTTTTTTTTTTACCCTATGATTTTTCGGCCCGTTTCTAATTCCCTTAGTTTAAAGTAGATGGCAGAACGTACGTATCACGTAGGCGAAAAGCTATTTCTTTTTATTGTGATTATTAATTCCGAAACAATTTGTAAAGTCCTCCTTCACTGGTTACAGGGCGTGGAACACCAGAAATAGAGAGTAAGGATGTAAAATACGCACAGTCGCCGTCGAGCGACGGGCACGGGAAAATACGGGTGAACCCGGCGACGCAGAACGCTTCAACGTCCACGGAGTACCAAAGCGACTCCATAAACAATAACACGCTGCAGACGGGCGGCAGCCAGATGCAACGGCCAGTGGCCAGGAGGAGGCTACGGAGGCGGGCTAATTCCGCCTCCAACGACCCCGCCGAGCAGCTGACCGAAATGTCCGTTCGGGGTCTCAACCTGTTCAGATACGCGTCCGTGAACGAGGGCGTGTACCAGTGCATCGAGTGCGCGAAGGACAACATCCAGAAGACGTTCAAAAACAAGTATTCATTCCAGCGGCACGCGTTCCTCTACCACGAGGGCCAGCAGAGGAAGGTGTTCCCCTGCCCCGTTTGCTGCAAGGAGTTCTCGAGGCCCGACAAAATGAAGAACCACATGAAAACAACGCACGATTGCTACGTGCCGAAGGACTGCGTGTACCCAACGAACGCTTTCTTCATGATACCAGGAATGGAAGGCCAGTTGCCGCCTGGAATTAAGCTGGAGGCGGTCGGTTCTGCATCGCCTCGTGGCTCAACGCCCTCGCATTCTTCGCCCGACCCTACGCAGGCTTAACCAACCATCACATGCCTTCGTCCCGATTTTTAATTGGGATCGATAACAAGTGCCTTGGCCAGATGTTTGAAAATAATATTTTCCTTCATATAAGTTTTATATATAGCTGTAAGAGAACACTGAATTTGATAGACATAATATTTGTTCTATTTTTGGAGTGAAATTTTGACGTACGCTTATTTTACGTACGTATTTTTCCAATGATACTGTTATGCATTTAAAATCTAACGTTTGTTACATAGAGTTCATTATGTTAAACTTTTTTAAAGTGTATGGTTGTGCAAATATTAGACAATAAATATTCATACAATAATAATGGAGGCCAGTTACGCAGTTATTGCAGCGTTGTAAATTAAATGTTATATCGAAAGAGATGTATAGCTTTTAAAGGTGCTGTGCAAGTCTGAAAAGTGCCTTCCATTTTGATAGGATTGCCCGAAGGTTCCAGTTTTCGAGGCCATTTTTGAATCTACAAAAGTTGCTACTTTTTTAAATTTTAGAGTCTAAACGTTTCGTTGCAAAGTTGACATTTGATCTGTTAATGGGATTAGGGAGATAATGTCGCACTATATCAGCAAAAAGATCATAACATTTTAACATTGATTAGTAATCATTATCAGCGTCAAGTCAACGTGAACTTGACGTATTAGTGGACTTTTTCGTCTCTACTTCAAATCGAAACCTGGTTTGTTGAATTACCGCAAGACACCGACCAAAGACTGTAATTATCATTTGTATCTGTCTTCGCAATACTAATTCGGGATTAAGAGTAACTATTTTCCTGTTATATGTTGCCCGTGTCATATACATAGTAAGATTGTGTTCGTTGCGGCAAAATTTGATCGCCTGCTCGCGTTATAAGGATATATAAGTATAGTTTAATATAAATGTTACTTTTTAACCGTCTGTTTTAATTAAAGACTTTTTTAAATTAGAATATTGATGATACGATTATTAGTGAGTCTATTGTTACAATATGTACCTATTATCTTATATCAAGAGATGTTACGGATTATAATTATCAAATTGCTTACGTAAATATAACGTAGTGCCATAGCACGTTTGTTCGCATTAATGAACGTTTCCATCAATAAATCTTCATTATATAGTATAGTTTTAACAAATGACGTCCTAGTTTGCGAACTAGGACTGAAAACGACAATCAGCAGTTCTTCCATTGATAAGGGATATAACGTTTGTTAGTTAATGTTATACTAAACTTCGCGTTAGTTTTAGGTTATCATTTCGAGTTTAACTAATCTCGAATTAGGGGCGAGTTTGAACTTTCTACGATTAAAAGATAATCGGCGAGCAATTTATTTAGTGTTGAAATGTAAGTTTATAGATTATAGTTGTACGATTACCTACTTAAAATATTATTGGTTATATTAATTGGAGGTTTTTGTGTTCGGTAATTAAACGCACAACATTTATCTCTTGGTTAAGTTTACATAGTACCGATGGGCGCAAGTTTTGTACATAGTGTAAGGGTGTATTACTTGAATTATTTTAGAATTAATATCGCCATTAAGGTATTAACAATTGCAGTGTGATTTTTAAGATATAGGACTATATCAGCGCCAGTCTGTCGCACAAATTCAACGTTTGCATTGATTATTTCTTACTGTACTATATATAGATGCGTTTCGTTATTTTTATTTGTTTTCCCACGTTTCGATTCTCGATTACTTTGTTCTGCGCCACTCTACAATACTTATCTATCCAATCGATTTGTCTAATTCGAAGTTTCAACGGGTGGTGTTCTCTTTTTTATTTTATTTTTCTTTCTTTTTTTTGTAGTATTTTATTTTGTGATATTAGTGCTAACTAAGTTGGCGTTCATATGTTCATTGTTAAATCATTGTAATTATTTCTTTTTCCTTTCTAACCACACGCTGCAAGGCAGCTTATTTTAAAATTTAGTTTTTATATATTGGAAAATAAAATTCATAAGTATTATGCCCTATGAACGTCGTTTCTTGGCTCTAACATATATAATATACTTTATACGAGCATTTGAATATGCTTCGTTTATTACATTTTTTCTTTTTAACATATCTTAAAACTTAAGAATTTACAAATTTCCATTAAAGTTGAACAAACTTTAATTATATAATAAATGAAAATAGAGTTTAACATATCTTCGTTCTTTATTCGTTAAGACTAAAAAAAATATTATGTGGATTATACAGTAGATCTTAAACAGAAAAAACTAATGAGCACGTTAACATTTTTTTTTATTTATACTGAAAAAAAAAAGAACTGTAAATCAGGTTAACTACGCGTTAATACTTCACACTTAAGCTATGTGCAATGTTTTTTTTATTCAACTGTTAATTATTTTTCTATATTCTATTAATATAATAGTTATCTAAAATGCAGATCAAATGATATTTATTGTGCGTAGAGCTTCACAAGTAGCATTTTAGTATTATTAGTTCTTCTATATTTTGTTTTACTTTTAGTAGCTTTTCACCTTTCCCTTATATTTTAAATCTACCAGAGTTTTAGAAGCAGATATGGTCAATAAGAAATGAAAATTTACGAAATAGTTTATTGTCAAAAGAGAAAATAATAATTATTGTTGACGTTTATGACTACGTTATGAATATTCTTCTATGGATATTCAGTAAAATATCGTTAAATATTCTATGGTTAAATATTTTATGGGTTGATTAGACCCTATATAGTAACAATTTTATTAACAAAATATAACAGTAATCAGATTTTGTATCGATAAGTCTTATATATCGTTTCAAACATTAAAGCTTTAATAATTGATGTAAACGATGCAAAAGTTTATATTCACAGTAACAAAAATTAAGTAGTTAATATTATATAAGGGAACGAGTTTTACCAGCGTATTAAATATTAATGAAAAAAAAAATATGTACACTGCAAATAATAAATAATTCATATAAAATAAAAAATTAAAGACTAAATTCGGTTTATTTCTTATTTTTTCCTTTACATTAGATTTTAAATCGAGGAGAGGTAACGCTGTTCCAAGGTTGTTACATATGTTCCGCGGAGGCTTCACAAGGTTCAAAAGTGTTCACAAAGCCTTATTGAAAATCTCTAAATTTTCTAATTTTGAGCAGAGAATTTTTAATTGCTTTTTACTTCGATTAATATTAGTTGTTTAGTTGTTAGATGTTCTAGGTTATTACCAAAAATTTTCATTTAATGAGAGAGCTAACACCTGATTTTGAGAAGAACGCTTTCCCGTATAGAGGTTATGTATAGCTATCTATCGATTTTGATTACTATAACCATGAAAATAAAATATAGCAAGTGAGCCTGTCACAGTATCGCGGCGAAATAATATTAGATATATAGAACATAATTTAAGGTGTTAAAAAATAGGATATGTCAAAACTAAACTACAACTCAACACTTACTTAAACACTTCTTTATAGAAATTAGCACAGGAAAACGTTAAAAGGTTAGAGTAAGTGAAATTATTTCATAAATCTAAAACAATCTGCAACCTTCATTTAAGTAACTATTAGTTTAAATTATGTATTATATTAAAAAATTATAATATTCAGATACAAATGAACTTGTTTAGATTATGTATTTGGCCATTTGCTATTGAAACTTTGGGTCCGTGATGTCCTCGCACATCAAAATTTTTTAAAGGTTCATGTTCTAGGCTTAACGCCACGCGTGGTGACAAGAGAGTTGGTTCTTTTCTCGCCCAAAGGTTAAGCATAACTATTCAGCGAGGAAATGCAGCTAGCGGCACCATGCCGCGTGGATTAGGTTTATTAGATAAAATGTAATTTTAGATAGATTTAATTTTGTAAAAATTACATAAAAATGTTTTATTAATATTTACATATACAAAAAAAATATTTACATATATAAAAAAGTGAGCTTACAAGAGACATTGCTAAAATTCAAGCAGTTGGCTAGATGTTATAATTTTTGTTTTATTTGAAAAATAAATATATGAATCCGGGAAGTTCAAAGCCTATGTAAGTTTATTAGACAAATGGAAAAGCTCAAACAGACCGGCGAAACCTTACTTACAGAATTGTAAGAAATTTGTGCAGAAGAGACCGTCATTGCATATACTGAAAGCTGGCCGTTTTGTCAGAACTTTGTAATGTTCAATAAAGTAAACAACCATTCTAACGTCCATTCGACCTGATGTTTCAGATTTCCATTACACGTACGAAGACGACGGGGAAGGTAATAGTGTGCCAGTGATCACCTTAGAAGTTCTCTCAAAAATAACACAGACCGAGGAATATGAGCAAAATGATTTCAGCAATGAAATGCAGCAGACTGTCACTGAATCGCAAGAAACGCCGAACATCCACTACATAGCGGAGAATTCGAAAACTGAACCAGTAAAGCCGGAAACTAGTGAAAACAAGGAACAGGATCAAAACGCGAACACATCCAAAATTAGGACTGACCTCTTGGAGTACATGACTAGAAATGACGGCAGCGTGATATGCAAGTTGTGTGGAGAGATATTACAAAGCAGGACGCACTGGTATCGTCATAAATATAAGCTTCACGTGATACCGCCATTGAATCCAGCGCCTCTGTTTCAATGTGAACAGTGTCTCGTCTTCTTCAAGAGCAGAAAAGGTAGCAATTCTTTGACTGTTTGAAAAATAAACTATCGACTATATCTCTCTCGTTGCCACATGTTTAATCTACAGCTAAACTCAGACGTGCTTTTAATTACTTGATGTAATAAAATATTTCATTGGCTAATTAACAAACTAGCTCAGAATATTAGTAATATTTTTTTCTATTTTTTAAACTAACACGAATCTTATTTTCAGTCGTATTTGTTTTTTCGGATAAATTTTTAGATACTAATTACTATTTCAGGTTACATCGGCCATCTCGCGAGCCGCCATAGCGAAATATTAGCAGACTCTAGTCCTGTACTAACAAATTCGCAAGCGGAAGCGCTTGCGAAGCAATTTCAGACGCAACCGGAGATCAAGGACGAGGCGGATCCAGAACTGGCAATACCCAAAACTAGTGTGCCAAATTACCAATCAATCGTTAAACAAACGACTAAAACGATCGAGACCAAACGTCAATTCAAAAATAGCAAAGGCAAGAAAACGTGTGCTACTTTAATATAATCTTAATCTTAATCTGTAATTATACAGCTTTTTGTCACATTCTAAATGTCATGTCACAGACTAAGTCATAACAGAACAACGCTTTTACGCTAACTGCCTTAGAAGAAGAACAACAACGCTTTTATATTATATACTTTTACGAATTTAAAGCTATTATTATAGTGTTATAAAGTTGTTAAGTAGATATCGTGATTTCATTCTTATTACTTGTTCGTAACGATATATTTTTTCCTTTGCTTGTTTCATCAGAACAAGTGAACAGAGAAGAATGGGAGGAGAGGCGCACCCGCGAGGAGAAGCTGGTTGCGGACATCATAGACCGCGTTCGAAGGGAATGCGAGGCGCAGGGCTCGGGCGGACCCGCGCGGCGCGGCTATACACGACGCACCACTGTCATGCACACGTAGCGCCCGCCAAAAAACACGTCAATGCCCGACGTGAACTGAAAGTTCCTCAGCGTAGTGTATTTTGAAACTATCGTGGAAGGCCCACTAGGGCCACCAAAAGTTGCTCATTGTTCGTGCCAATTTTAAAAGTACGAGGTAAAATTTATGTGCCATAATTTTTCCAGTGCCAAATATACTTTAGTATAGGTTATGTTGTAAATAGAATATTTTACAGCTCTCTAATACAGCCTTATTGTTATTTCGTAACTTTTGAAGTTCCCGTCGATTTTTATAAAGTTGTTTATGTTGTATTTATCAAAATGTTAATGCAATATTTTGTACCAACATTCCGTTTAAACGTTGTTGATTTTTTGTGTATTATTTCTATATCTTGTATTTGTAATAATTGTTCAAAATTGAATACGGATTTAGATAATACACGTTAATATTGTTTTAGTGAAAACAGACGTTGCGAATATGATAATATACTGCATGATTTAGTTATTTCACGGAACTAAATAAGGTGTATCGTTAAATATAATTAATCTATTGAATGTAAATATATAAATGATCAGAAAAAAACACGTTTCGCGTGTCTTTTAGACAATATATCTTTGCTAAAGTCTATGGTAACCGGATAATATCTTAATAAATATATTTTCTACTTTGCTTAAGCAGTCAAGACAGTGTCCAATGTAAAGATCTAATAATTGATAACATTAATTCGAGTCAACTTGCGTCCAAATAAACGTAGAACAGGATCCAAGTCCATCTTGATTTAACGCCGTTTACTGCTTTGCCCACCGAAAATAACTATAGTATAGGTGTCAAAGAAGTCTTTGATAACTATTAAAGATAGTTAGGTCTCCCCGAGGGGTACACACATATAACGGATTTCTACTGTTCTGCACAATCTCTGTATTTTCGTCCACATCCACACAATTACGCATGCATACAATATATTAGTAACGGATATTTTTCCGAGGCTCACCCTCAGTAAGGATACTATCAATCTTATCAAGGGCGGATCCAGGGGGGGGGGGGGGGTCATGGGGGTCATGACCCCCCCTGGGCTGGGCTGGACCTAGGTGGACCATTAATTAAAATTGTTAAACATAATGTTTTTATATATTTTTTGCCACGATATAGATTATCTTCAATATTTAATTAATTTAATATAATATTTTTAACCGAATTCAAAAGGAGGAGTTTCTCAATTCGATTGGTATATTTTTTTTCGATGTATGCACCTCAATTACGTTGGGATTTATGATCCGATTTACGTGATTCTTCTTAATTTTGATGCAGAATAGTTGTCATTTGGTCCCATAAAAATTGAACATAGTTTGGCCAAGTAGTTTTCATTTTATGAACATTTTTACAATATTTTAATGTTTGTCATCAATCATCAAAAATCATAAAAAATCTTGAAAATTAAATTTGATCCACTTCCCGGTTACCGGTAGAGCTGAAATTTTGTATACATGTGTAAATCGCAAGATATTACAATATTATTATGACATGGTGCTGATCTGATGATGGAGCTGGAAGGTGGCCAAGAGGAACTTCGCAATGAAATGACAGAGCCTCATCGCGTTTGGAAACATTTGAATCGTATTGACGAGTAGTTTCTTTCATTGGTAACCAGGATCTGATGATGGAGCTCCATCTTCAGCAGTCCATAGACATATGCATAGGGTTGTAGATGCGTTTCCTCCTTATAATAAAGTGGGCCCCGGCTACCTCACTCACCAGACAAAACGCAGAAGTACTTTACGCCGGTCTTCTGTGAGGCCTATGAGGCCATTCTGTGAGGTCTATGAGGCTATTCTGTAAGGTTCCTCTGTAATGAAACGACTCAATCCCATCGAGTCTCGGCTCCTTTGATTCGTCCTTGGCGAGTACTTTATTTTTAGATGGTTTCCAGGGTCTGACCTGATGATGGGCCTGGAAGGTACGCAACACTATTGTGTCTCGGCTCATTTGATTCGTCTTGGCGAGTACTTTATTTTTAGATGGTTTCCAGGGTCTGACCTGATGATGGGCCTGGAAGGTACGCAACCCTATTGTGTCTCGGCTCATTTGATTCGTCTTGGCGAGTATTTTATTTTTAGATGGTTTCCAGGGTTTGAACTGATGATGGGCCTGGAAGGTACGCAACCCTATTGTGTCTCGGCTCGTTTGATTCGTCTTGACGAGTTCTTTGGTGCTAGATGGTAACCAGGGTCTCATGACAAAGCTGGACTGTGGCCATAGGAACTCAGTAATTAAGGAACACAACTGCTTCGAGTTTGATTCGTCTTGATCTCGTTTTTGATGGGTGGTGAGCGTTGGTGATTTCGTGGATGTGAGTATGCAACCCCATCTTTGGGAAATAAAGTTTGTTCGTTCCGTTTGTTATGAATGTGGATTCTGTCTTTGATTGGATGGATTAGATGGATGAACGCTGAATATTATGAATGAACGAATTAATTACTGAATAAATATTTTTTTTGTTATTTATGAACATTTTTTTAACTTGGACGATGTAATTGTAGTTTGTGTACGGTCATTTTAGGACTTTTCATTTGGGTTGATTGTATATTATTATTTGCTCGTGTCCCGACAAGTGATCTTAGGCTACTTGTCATTGAAGTGGAGCCAGCGTGCGGAGTAGAGAAATTGAAAAATATTATAACCAATACGACTACATAAAATCTGGTAACGAAGAAATAAATTTCAATAATAAGTAAGCCTACCAATAGCTACTTAAAAAAATACTATTTAATATATGCCATAAAAAGCAACGAAATGTTATATATAATTTACCTGATGTAAGTCGGTTTTTTAAACGTAGTTTATTTTTTTATTTGTATAATTACAAACGCATTAATCGGGAACGAACGCATCGAAAATTTGAATAGTACCGCGCCGCCATTCATCTGATGTCTCATTTCGTGTTACACTTATACTGACACTTCGTGACACAAAGAAATTTATAATATAATAATCTTCTTTGAAGTTTTAAAAATAAAAAAAACTTCAATTCAAAACTATTGCGCGACTCAAAATTATTGCGTTTTATCAACGAGCGTTTACAACAAGTAAATAGTAATATTAATTACCTACCTACTACTTTTTACTATATATGCCTTTTATAAATTTTTAAAAGCTATAAAATATTAAAAAAGCTAAAACCGTTTTGCTTGTTTTAACTCTATACCTAGAGTATTGCTTAATAGGTATACCTAATAACTATTCGATTTACTACTTTTTTCCGTTAAACGTGCTAATTGCCGCGACTACTAATACTTAATAATTTTGAACAAAAAAAAACGACTTCAAACAGGAAACTAAAAACATTGTCAACATCTATGACATCTATTACGATTTGATTTGGATTGCCCTTGATTTCTCTGGGATGCCATGACCAGATCCGGGTTTCCTAATCATGGTGCCATCCTTGAGATATCTCATTTCCAACAAAAAAAGAATCATCAAAATCGGTTCATAAATGACGAAGTTATCGGGGAACACACATAAAAAAAAATAAAAATATATACGGTTGAATTGAGGAACCTCCTTCTTTTTTGAAGTCGGGTAAAAATGACTGCTCCTTTAATTTAATAGTGGTATTTCTGGTAACTAACCTAAACAGATAACGCGTTTCGGGAGAAGACGTAAAAGAAAAATTGATTTTGTTATTTAAATATAGGTATTTTCAATAACAGTAAGTACTTACATACATCAATATAAAAAGTTTTTTACCAAAATAAGAACATACTTCAAATTAGGCCCGAACATACATAAAAAAATATAAACATCCGAATTGATAACCTCCTTCTTTTTGAAGTCGGTTAAAAATACCTACTTTTTACTTGTATCTATGATTATAAAAATTAAATTATAACTTCTTATCACTTGACCACGACTATGTGACCACCACTGGCACCAAAGCTGGATCCGCCCTTGAGTCTTATCATTATACTTTGGCCGTAATAACCCTGTGCCGACTTTTCCATTAAATTTTTTAACTTAAATCTTTTCTTTCTTACCAATTAATCCGGCTTTGTAAATTATATTTAAATTTCTCTAACAACATGGTGTCTCCCTAATATAATCTGTCATACCAAGTTACAGTAACATACTTATTGAACCATGGGATAAATAAGACAAACCGTTTTTCATTCTAAAGTTCCTCTTAGACAATAAAAATAAATTGTCGATACCTACCGTAATTGACACAATTCATTTAAGTTATTGTTTTGGGCTCTTCATTATTTACTCCGCGCTCTTTTTATACCGTATTTAATTATTTATTTGATTATTAATAAAATAATTACTTCATATAACGATTCAAATTGACGACATAATATGTTTATGGGTACGGTATATATTATACGGTTCGCTAATTTACTAAAAGTGATGTCACTATTACCAAGTAACGTTAAAATTAACAAAAACTTGTTAATCATCACTGCTGCAATTCCGTTAATTTCAACTATAATGATATCCAGATATTCTATAACGACGTTCACGGTGTGTGATATATTCAAAGGTTAAAGCAGCTAACTTACAAAGAATAGTTAGTTTTCAAGATCCGCGATCGCCAACTATAAAACCATACTACGTTTCTATAAAAGTTATGGATAATCGTAGATCGTCAGGGTAAAACGAACCCCTTTTGAACCATTTTTTTATGATCTACAATAACAAAACAAGCCATAATTGTATTACGTAAATTATAAAAAAATAATTGAAAGGCTTTTGCGGGATTGGTGTATTAATTAACCCATGAAAATAAATGTATGAAAGTCTTAACGTTAGTATATGAAAAGTTATTTTTTTAGGTTATACGTCAAATGTAACATTAAACTATAATAAATTCATGTCTTGAAACGGCTGATGAAAATTCTGTCCTACGGTTAACAATATAGGTATAAGAATGAATTGTGAGACTGGAATAAATATATTTGATATTATGGAATATGTAATTTAAGTTAGATACATATATAAGTATATATATATATATATATATA